TGGTGGTGGTGGTAGTAGTAGTAGTAGCAGTAGTTGCAGTAGTAGTGGTAGTAGTAGTGTGGTAGTAGCTGTAGCAGAAGCAGCAGCGGCTGTAGTGGTGCGGCAGCTTTGTAAAAGACGTGGCACTAGCCTTGGCAAGGGAAGCTCATTTTCCGGATATGATTCAAGTATGATTCGCCGGTATGATTCGGCTAGTTGCCAAACGGAACTGATCAATCTCAGAACGATGATCGTAGTAGTAGTGGTGGTACTAGTAGTAGTAGTAGTAGTAGTAGCAGCGGTAGTAGCAGTAGTAGTAGTAGTAGTAGTAGTAGTAGTAGTAGTAGTAGTAGTAGTGGTAGTAGTAGTAGTGGCCGTAGTAGCGGTAGTAGCAGTAGTGTGGTGGTAGTAGTGTCGTGGTAGTAGTAGTAGTAGCAGTAGTAGTAGTAGTAGTAGTAGTAGTACTAGTACTAGTAGTAGTAGTGGCAATATTCGTAGTAGGTAGCGCTGGTGGTGGTTGTGGAGGCAGTGAACAACACAACAGGTAGAAGAAAAGTAGCATCTTGCAGCATACGTTTTAAGGGGTATGATTCGAGGGTATGATTCGGGGGTATGATTCGGGGGTATGATTCGGGGAGGTCCCACCTTCTGCCTTTTGAAGCAGCTCAACACAACAAAAAGACAAACCCAAATACGTATAAGCAGGCAACAAACACATTGGAACTCAAATTCAGGCTCCGGGCTGCAGGAGGCTCGGGGGAAGGGGGAGGGGGGGGGGAGTGAAAAATATGCCAAAACCTGAGAAAAAACAAACAAAACACAACAAGCATGCACACACATTAAGAAACAAACTGCCGCAGACAAAAACAACCTGGAAATTCATATGTGACGTTTTTGTTCTGTCCATACGGCTTGGGCCACAAAAAATGGCCATACGCTGATTTACTGTTTGTTGTCAACAATTTGTTGAACAAGTAAGGGCTGCACGGCCAGATACGGCCACCGGCCAGCAAAAAATGACCATGCGGGAAAAACGATCCAAATACGGGTTCCGTCCCCCAAAAAAATGGCCATACGGCTTTCCAGGAACAGTCGCACGGTTGCGGGGTGGTACCTGGGGGGATTTGAACCCGCCCAACTTGGATGGTGCGACCAGGTCTTACGCTGTCCGAGCAACTAACCGTCTGAGTCTGACCTTGACTGCGTGGGTTGTTTTTTTTTGTTAACTAAGACCTTTCCCGAGTCCGAGTTGCTGCTTTTGAATGTCGGTTTCGGGGCCTTCAAGAAAAGACTAGTTCACAACTGCAGGGGTGTGCTTGTTTTGTGCTTGTTTTGTGCTTGAGTGTTTCAATTTGCTTCACGCAGCAGCTATTTTCTGCATAGACGTACTCAAAAAAGCCAACCAGGCCTGGCAGGACCAAGCACCCAGGTGGCTTTGCAGCGGATGCCATGTCTAAAAGCCTTTGCCACTGTGATGCCGATGTATCTATGTCCTCCAGTAGAGAGGTTAGAATAAGGGTACCAACTTTTTTTCTGTAGTCTATTTTAGTAGGGGAAGCCTCCCCCAAAAGGGGAGAGAAGCACTGGGGGACCTAGGCATTGGAAATGGGAATCCGCTGCAAAGCCACATGACGAGCCCTGAAAATCGCTCCCACGCTCATTGGCCTCTGGGACGCTGTACTTACTGACGATGGCCTGGCGCATGCCGACTCCCAGAGCAAGGCGTGCAACTGAAAATGACTGCATGGTGACTGAGCTGTCGGCTGTCGGTATTTGCGGTGCTTTCGGTGATCCAGATCTCCTCTCTGGGTTGCGCTCTCAACCAGGGGCTTCCCTGAAAAAACAAACACAACCCGAAACCCAAACTCGCTTGAAATATGCCAAGCCGAACCCACAACTTGCTTGCTCAGTTGCTTCTCATGGAAGACTATGGGCACTTCAAAGGCCAGTGCCTGAGACTCTCGGCGAAGCCTGAAGCTGGCTGCGGCCAAGTTTGTGAAATCCAACTTTGGCTAGGCTTTGACCCCGAACAAACGAGCAATTGCACTGGTTGCAGGAGAACATGGAGGAATGCCAACAAAGCATTCTTCAAACAAGCCCAGGCAGTATCCCCGACAGCCCCGGAACCCTCCGGAACCCTCCCTGAAAGCTGCCCCAAACAACCCCAGAGCAAAAGTTTAAGCAGAGACCCCATGGCTTTCAGCTGCTGGGGAAAAGAGACAAAAACGAGAGCTACGTCTGGAACAAGATAACTTCAAAGAGAAACCCATCCAAAGGAAACGCGCCACTGGCCGCCTGCCGATATGCCACGTCACATACATTTTCAGACACGCAGATTGTCAAGCACAGATCTTTGGATGAACACACCATGCCTTTTTGGAGGCACGCTTATTGTTAGTTGCTTGAGCCAACTCAGCTTGCCCCCAATCAGAAATTCCCGTTCTTTGCTCTCTTGACTTGACATGGGCACCCCTATAATAAACCATGATATCTAGACTAGAAGAAACTCTTTTGGACAAGTCCCTGATTTGGGTTCCAAACAAAAAAACAAGGGAGTAGATTCTGGACCATATGTAGGGCAAGTTGAAATACATCATATCCCAAAGAACATGAACACACTCACTGGCGCAAAGCCAAAAACCCACCGATCTTACAAGTTCCATAATTATCCCATCTGGATACAAACCCGCAAACAGCAAAATGCCTTCCTTAAGAACCAAAAACCAACCAAGCTGCAAAGTGGCAAGGAATGTCAAGCTGATATTGGTATATATTATACAAGCATCCACTCCAAAAACTACCCTCGCTCCAACAAACATACTGGTGGACGAAATCCGATTCGCACCACTTGGGATGGATGAAGCCCTTTAAAAAAAAAGAAGGGGACACCACCTACGAGTTGCCGGGTTTGTCAGCTGAACCTGGATAAGTTTCCTCGTGGAAGGCACGGACCTTTGGCTGAAACCAATGGACGCGCCTCAAGCCACTGGTACCGGGGGTCGATCTTTCCGTCATTGAACCTGAGCTCAACAGACCTACCCCAAACCCACCAGACCCACCCTTAACCAACCCTAACCCCCCAAACCCATGCTAAACCAACAAGCTAAACCCACCCACCAACCCTAACCCCCACCCACCTTGAGCCCCCCAACCTAAACAGATGGGCCCAGCAAAAAGGGCATCAGGGTGGCATCTGAGCGCAATGGGACCCGAATGGATCCGAATGATTTGTTGTCATCCAGTTTGACGCCAGGCTGCTGCCGCTGACGAGCAAGCATTTGAGCTCCATCCTGCCGGCAGTAATGTTGACTCCAACTTCATCAAGCAACCAGTTTATTGATAGGGGGTGTCCGATTCTGGGTTTAGTGAGAAATCATACCACTTTTGGAGTGGAACACCCCCGTATTCGTAAGGGGCGGTTGATTAATAAATATGGGGACAACATTGTATCACTCCTACCTGAAAGTGGAAAGAGGTGGGGTCTCCCACAGATGGGACAATTCCCTTATGTTGTTTTTTCGTTCAGCCACACAAAGGGGATGGTGGCATCGACTTTCACCCAGCTGTATCTGTTGCCGTTTAGGGACCGGATGGGACCGGATCACCTTTTGACCTTTACTCGAAGTCGAAAAAAAAAAAAAAAAAAAAAAAAAAAAAACATATGTCAAAGCTTACTTGCCAATATGGGACCTGGAAATAAAATCTTAAGGTTGACCCTTTGGGGCCATAAACATGGACCAAACAAAAACTAAAAGGTCAGTTCCGGTCGATTCTTTTCGGGCAACATCGTGTTTGCTTTTCCGCAGGGTCAAGGTAAACTTGCTGTGTATCATTAAAGTGGTTCAGCCCCAAAAAGCCCACCGCCCAGCAACTCAGGGAGTGAGTCAACCAGCAAGATAAATATTATTTGTCAGATCACCCATGCGCACGCACACAAGAGCAACCAAGGGCAGAGGGAAGCCAACAGACACCCGATTTGTCCAGCCACTGTCATATTTCTCGGAGGAAATTTGTTAAGACGGCAAGGTTCACCGGTCCACCATCACGTATGTTAGGAGACAAAAACGATCCACACTGATAACCTACTAATGTTGTTCTCATGTTGTTTCCTTTAAACTCGGGCTTTGCGGCACACTGTTTTTGAGCAGCCGATGGGAGCCCTGCTGGCTTTTCCGTGGGAGGGCTGCAAGAAAAACGCGTCGGATCCGCCTCAACGGTAAATGCCTCCAGCGGCGCCTGAGACGCCCCGTGATGGACACTTCGGGTCAGGCAACCTTTTTTAGTCTGGGCAAATCATACCGTGGATGGTTGCGAAATCCAGTTCGCACCACCGTGCAGGAACCCTGGTTATTGATTTGTTTTCCCTGCAAATACCAACAAACAACGGCTTCAACCAGTGTCGAACCGGTGCATGATTTCGTCGTACGTTACTTCACCAACAGCAAGGGAGGTTCAAACAAGTTCCTTCACTTTGAGTAAAACGAGGCACTCCTTTGGTACCCTTGCTATAACTTGCCCAGTGTTGTTGGCTTTTTGGGGTTGGCAGCAGATATTCTAGGGCACCCTCCGGAAAAGTAAAAATTTGCACTGGCTCGGCTTTGGATTTCCCAATGTTGATGCACCCAAGAATTAAAGTAAGGCCTAAAAAGAATCATTCCATGCGCTTTGACTCAGTTTCTGAGCGGATGGGCCCAAAAAGTACCCACACTTTTTACGCAACGCTCAACTTACTAACATGATCTTCCCAAAGAGTAAAAGTCCAGGAACTCAGGGAGATAACCCTGTTCCCTAGCTGCAAGACAATGAGGGCTTTTTTTATGTTCCTTGTCCGCTAGGTAAACGACGGTAGATGTGTGATCGGGTGCTAACCAAATCCCCGGCCCAGGCAACCCCCCAAAGACCTGGCTCAAGCGGGCTGCCACGCCACCCCGGAGATGAGGCCGGAGGCCGCTGGGTTTGCGGGCAAGCCATGGGCTTCTGCTTTATCCTTTCTTTGGGGGTTTGCTTAAAGGGAAACCAACGGGAAGATTTCTGTTGTACATGCATGAAATAGAAATCAGGAAATTAACTGGTCCCGGTTAGATAGTAGGTGGCACATTCATATGTATATGTATATATGTTATTCATATTGTACCATGCATGATGAATGGGGATAAATCAAGTTACCCGGCGGCGAGTGGGCCAGTCGCGTGTATGTACGTGTGTGCCATGGTCAACACTTCATACCTACTGCTATGGGTGACGCTCACCATGACCGCAACCCCAAGTACGTTTGGACCGCACATGCACGTGGCTGTCAGCTTTGCTCCTTTGGGAGTTTCTCAAAACCGTGGACCCCGTGAAGGGACCCTAAGGGAAAAATTGAAAGGAAACCAACCATAAGGTCCCAAATCCTACTTGAGAACACGCGGTGTGTTTTATGTGGAGTTAGCTTACAGACACCGCATCTTGTGGATTATTTCTTTTTTTTTGGGGGGGGACCTTTCAGAACGCCCCCTGTTGGTTCTCATGTTGTCGCCTGGGTGAATTATAATATTCACCAACCTGAAATAAAGTGCTTTTTTGGGGCTATTCCCCAAATGAACCACCATTTGGGTGAATTCGGTTGTGTGAGGTCGTTATAATTCACCCAGAAAAGTCGCGAGTTTCTCGCATCGCTCGCATTATCGCACTCGTCGAAGCCCAGCGGCCGTGTAGCCGGCAGGCAGGCCTTGCGACAAGAAAGCTGGCGCGATCTGCGGTGGTGGGGCGAACAAAACATACCCAACCTGCCCCTTGAAAGGAACACCCTTTAGGTCTTCCAGTAGAGAGGCTGGGATAAGGGTCCCTTTTTCTGTAGTTGATTTTAAATAGTAGGGGAACCTCCACAAAAAGGGTAAAAGGGCACTACTGGGGGACCTAGCCCTTCCCGCAAACGAGAAAACCAACAATGCCAGTACTTTTATTGTACTACTCCCAAACCTTCCAAAGGCCCTTTGTGGAAAAACCCGGCATTCGCCTTAGGATGTCCTCTTTTGGGGTCCTCACATGGGGCTGCTTTGGAACTCGACCACCTGACCCTTCAAACTACCCAGAAACGCGTAAATATGGGTTACCGCTCCCCCCCCACAAATTGGGTGATGTCCCCTTGTTATGGGAAGTTTGAGGGTCCAGGCATGTTAATAGGAGCCCAAAAAGGCTCGGGTTTGAGACCCTCAATTCGGAAGCGAGTTTTGACATACCTACGCCTTCCTGAGGGTTACTTTTTTCTGCTCTTTCAACGAAAGCTGCTTTTTGGCTGAAGCGGCGCCTGTTTTTTGCTTCGAGGCACTTTTCGAGATTTTCAGGGTTTTGCTGGGCTGAACCCACTCAAGCAAGAACTGATGGCATTGTTGTGCAGGCCTCGCTCCCAATATTTTCCACAGCATGAAAGGTGTCTTCAGGCCACACGCAAGAGTGAAGCTTTGCTGTTAACCACATGACGTCTAAACACGATATGTTTTCCCAACATTTTGTCATTCAATTTGCTGAGCCTAAGAGATGCTGCACAACTGGTGGCACATCTCGACCACTGACCTACCCGGACCGGCTGTCAGAGCGCCATGCGCCATGGTTCCAACCTTGGCGGCCATTGAGTTGATCGAGTGCCCTCTTGCAGAGAGCTGCTAGCTGCTGCGAAAGCACCTGTGCCATGCAAATGCACCAAGTGTGCCGTGAAGATTTCGGATCAACCGCAGATTGCTTTAGTGCTAGGACACCTAAGCGCATGGCCCCAGCAGCAAGCTACCCGCTTCCCGAAGCGGGCTCTTTCGCCAAATCCTGGGAGAGTGAGGCCAGCATCAGGCACAGGGTGCTGAGCCAAGAGCATCCCTACATGACAAGGTGGGTTTCTACTCGCACAGTGGGCATGCCAAGCTGCAAGGCGATGGCTCTAAATATCGCTGCTTTGGAATGTATAGCTCGAATTTGGTGCCCGCTGTCACCATACCCCAGAGCTATCCCCATCGAGTTTCTTCGTGGTGAGGCTTGGGGCGAGGGACGTTTTCGAACAAGTGTCGAGATCTTTGCTGCACTCTTTCAAAGAAAGGAACAGCTCCTGCTTGTTGCAGTGCGCTCGATGAAGAACGCTTCGGAAATTTGGGTAGTTTCAGGCAACCTTCTTGCAACCCTTTCTGCAATGCAAGGGGGTCCCGTTCAAGTCGCCCCTCTCAAGCAACTCATTCCCGCATGCAAAGTGAAGGGGGGGGGAAAGTAGAACCACAACCAAAGAAGGCGGCCCCATGTTTCACAATGTCTGGTTGAAAAAGGGGGGGAGTTAGTTTTACTTGTTGTTTCTTGCTTTGACCCTGTCAAGCTGTAGACACCCTATTAGAGCCGGCCCTCGGTTTGTTTTTGGAGATCCAACTCAGTGGCCCCCCCCACAGTAACCAAAGCGCTTCAAATGGACGGCGGGCTGATGTTTTGGTACTTTGTGTTCCCCATACAGGTGCGTGCGCTTCGGAAGATGCTCGGCAAAGCAGAAGATGCTGCTTTGATACAGCTCGACGGGGCCGGCTTAAAAGTCCTATTTTCAAGGGGCATCCGGCGCCTTGGGGCTCAGCAGTTTTCGACCAGAGAACCCCGCCTATGATGAGCAAATGTCCATACCGTTTGTTTTCGATAGTTCGGAAAACACATTGCCGCTTTGACTTGCGTTGCCCACTTTAGAAACAACGCAGGTGGGCGGTCTGGAGGGCTTCTTTGCCATCTTAAAGGAGCACTGGACTGAGGAGACCCCGCTTGAGCCCAGCCAAGAAATCATCGCCGATGACCCTGATGGCGACAAACCCGAGGAAACTCCAAGCCCCAGGTCGCAAGGGTCAACCGCTACAGGGAGCCCCTTGCAGAAGGAAAGTGGTGTTTCCCCAACAACACCTTCTCCAAACACTACGGAGATAACACTCAAGGGGCCGAAAGAACTACCCAGTCTTGCTGAGCTGGACCCAGAAACGCAGCTTGAGCACGCAAAGGCCCGGGCAGAGGCTTTGAGGCTTCTTGTCCGGAACAAGCAGGTTTTGGCATAGCGGGCTTTTAACTTCTAGATTGTGATGCAAAGGTGCCCCCACTTGGCCGCCCTGCCTTGCAGGCTGCGAATCTTGCAGAAGCGACTCATCGTGCCACCTCAAGCGCCCAAGGCGGTGTCAACATTGTCAGCTGGAAACGTGAGCAACTGGGCCACAATACAAAAATAGAAGGGATGTTTGACTGTTCCGAGCTTTGTTGCGCAAGGGGCCCTGCGAGGGTTGGACGGGTTCTTGGTTAGGTCTTTGAGACCGAGGTATGGACATGGCAGAAACTCTGCCAATGGACAGCGCTACGGCTAGCCAAGCAGCAGCGCTTCTTGGCGGTGCTGGCGTGGAGCCAACAACTGCTACGCACACCTTGAAGCCGGCAAGCATGTCTTCTGAGGACTGGGCATTCCATACCCAGAAGACACTTCCACTGAGTGATGAATGGCTGGAAGAGGTTCGGGAGATGCAGCTTGAGAAGAAGCGAGATGCGGAGAACGAGATGGAGCTTGGCCAGCTTGCAGAGGCCAATCTTGCGGGGGCCAATGATGCGGAGATTGTGCCAAGCGACTTGGTGGACCACCTGACCACTACGGCGATGGGCGGCGAGGTCACGGAGCGCGAAGCTGTCGGTGGAGAGGAGCCTTGCTTGGAGGAAGCAGTCCTGCCAACGCAGCCAAGCCCCGTCGAAGACAAGGAGCTTGAGACGCCGAGCGGGAACAGGTCCGAGAGTGAGCCTGCCCAGAAAAAGCGCAAGGCCTTGGACCCCGTTGGAGACAAGGAGTTTAAGCAGAAAGAGGAAGAGGACGGCCACGAAGACGGGGTGCCCAACCTGCCGATGGTCACACGTGAGCACCAGCAAGCCTTCAAAGCCGGCAAGCAGCGAGTCTCGAAGCTCAAGAAATCCCAGGCAGCCCACGCAGACAGCAAGGGCCAGGAAAAGCAGGCTGCTTCGGGCCACGCGGGCGAGAGTGGGCAAGGCCGTGGGCGAGGTGAAGAGTGTGGGCGCGGTGGACGAGGGCGCGGGCGCGGGCGCGGGCGGCGAGGAAAGCGTGGACCAGCTGACCAAGATGAGGCTGCTAGTGCTGAGAAGCGGGCAAGGCGAACGATGAAGCGGCCGGCAGCTGCCAAGCCACCGTCTCCATCTTGCCCACCGCGCTGCCTTGAGGGTGAATTCGCTTTCGTGGCCAGCTCTTCGGAGGGCGAGCCCGAGATTAAGGTTGAGCTTGACGAGACCAAGCCTCGCCCGTCCCAGGCGAAGCCTGGCAAGGGGGCCAAGAAGAAGAGCCCAGATCCGGCAAGCCGTGATGCTAAGCAGCCAAAGCAGGAAGAGAAGGCGAAGAAGAAGCCTGACGACCCTGCAGCTGCGCCGGCCTACGAAGGCCCGAACTCGCGGAAAACCTTTGCTGGCCGGCGGCCGCCAACGCGGCCTGCAGCCAACGCCCGCTTCCTTGCGTTGGCAAAGGTCTACAACGACATTATCTTGCCCAAGCTAGTCGTCGGCTGCGCGGGCACTAAGCTGGAGGCGGCCGCCTTTTCAACGTGTCTTTCTTTTGGAGCAACATGCGTGAGCTAAGCGTCCCCAAAACTACAACTTGGCCTCTCACAAGTTCAAGCAACTGGGAGGCCAGGTGTTGGGTAGGCAACGTCTTGGGTTCAAATCGCATCATGCTCTCGGCCAACCCCGCAGATTGTGTGGTGGAACTTTTCCTTTGAGAAGTTGGTTTCGGAGAATGCTCATGCCAACGAAGAGCAGTATCTGGACATGGCCCGCAAGATTTCGGAAAGCTTCCTCAAACAGGATCATAACAGCTTCTAGGCCAGCACTTGTGCCGTTTCCCAGGGTCTCTTTTTTTCCTTGGATTTGCCTCCCGAACTTTGTTATTTCTCAGGGTCTCCGGCTGGCCAAGGCAAGTACTTCAAGGATGATGTAGACGATGCTGACTAGAGCACTCATCAATCTCAGCGGTCCTTCTGATCAGATCTGAGGGGCGCACACCGCGGTGTGCGAATTTACCCAGTCTAACACCTGTCCCTCTTTACATAGCTTCCTGCAGCCTAGGGCCTCAAGAAGCAGGAAAAGAACCAACAGTGTCAACTTTTTGATTGCTCCGGCGGGGCCTGAAGTGCTGCTGTCAAATTTTGCTGCAGGGGGCGAAAGATAGGATCGAGCCAGTTTTGCAAGAAGGGAAAAACTGCTTGAACGGACTTGTGGCTGACAATTGCTGAGCAACCTTGAACTTGCTTTCCCTTATCATTGCCTGCGCAGGTACCATGCTGAGGAAGGGGCTGTCACAGCTGGCAGCGCGAGGCTTCTTCCTCAAGGAAGGTGTATCCTGCGCGTTTGCTCGCGAGCTCAATCTTCATTGCATGAGGTTGCTTGGAGACAAACGTTCGCAGGCAGCTGTTTCAGGACACAAGCCCCTTGAAGTATCTCTGTGTAGGCCCGCAAAGCCTGGTCATGTCGCCTGGCGATCTTGATCTCGTTATACGGCGGCTTATTTGGCTTCAGATGCCAAAAGACACCAGGACATACATTTAAGCGTGGACGATACCGGAACTTGTGGAAAACTCAAAATTGCTCCTGTGCTGGCTAAGGACTTTGTGCTACTCGTCCTTCTTTGCTCTTGGCTCCCCTGCGCCTTCAAGCATGACCAGGACTTTGAGCCATACAAGCTTTTGG